ACTGTCAAGGATCCAACTGTCCCTGGAGTCCTGGCTGCCTGGCCCCTGAGCCTAGGACTCGCCCGCTCGGATGCCTCAAGCTGGGCCCCGGGGATGAGGGTGGGGTGGGGGATGGTGGTGTTGCGAGGACGAGGATGGGCAGTTCTCAGGCTAGGGCCTGCGGACCACCGGGCATGCCCAGCGCAAGGCACTGCCCCCCCGCCTGGCCCCATACGCTGTGCCCACCCAGGTGTGGCATCCAGCAAGTGCTCAATGCATGCAGGCTGAATGGCAAACACGGCTGACGAGGGGAGCCGCCCTCCACCCCTGCACTGACTATCCCGGGAAGTGGCTGGTTGGTGGCCCTCTGCCCTTGGACCGCCCCACCTGTGCTGGAGGACACAGTCCTCAGAGGGATGGTCAAATCCAGGTTCAATGTCCCCCTGCCCTGACCAGGTGACTCGGGCCACTCTCTGTGTCCCCTCTGGTACAGCACCACTCGACGGAAGTCTCAGGTCAGCCGCAGGTGTCATCTGAAATTTTCTACTAGTCACAGCAAGTGAAAATAACCAGGTGAACTCAATTTTGATAACATATTTTATTTAGCCAATATATTCAAAACCTTACTCCAATATGTAATCAGCGTAAGGACTATTAAAGGGACGTTTTACTTTTTTGGTGAGTCTTCAAAATCCCTCCTGCATCTTACACTTACGGTACCCCTCGGTTTGCACACACACCAGAGTGCAGCCCTCAAGCCCCTGTCCCCGGGGAAAACCGGGCCCGGTGTGCACACCCTCTGCAGGGCCGAGGGTGCGCGAGGCCCGGAGTCACCCTCTCTCCCCCGGGCCCCTCGCCTCTCAGATGCCCCAGGTGAGTCACTGCGCCCCCTTGGACTGGCTGGCGACCGAGATCCCTTGCTGAGTCTGTGAGCACACTCCCCGTGCACAGCTCACCCACAGAGCAAACGTGGGCAGGTGGCACTGCACCTGTGTCCCGGGCCGCTCACCTGAGCCTGGTCATGATTGGGTGGGGCTGGGCCCCCCCTCAGGACACACAGCCCCAGCCCCGTGCCAGTGGGTCCCAGGGGGCTCTGGGCTGAGGCAGGGGTGGGCAGCGGCTAGAGGGCTCCAGCGTGCAGAGGGAAGGCCCTGGTCTGCTCAGAACCTTCCAGAAGCCTGACCCTGCCCCTCCAGCCTCAGGCCTCCCCACCTCCTGTTAGCCCTCGGAGCTCCCGTGTTTCCTGGAAAATCCCATCGGCTTTCTGGGCCCTGAGCTTTGGTGCGGATGGTTGCCTCCTCCCGGAGCCGTCCCTGTACCCACCTCCGGGCGGGCCTGGGTCACGCCCCCAGGGAAGCCCTTGCTGACAGTCCTGATTTGATTGTGGAGCCGGTTAGAAACTTCCTGCCTTGCTCAGGGGGCCTCGGGGGGCCATGTTCCTAACACGCTCCTGGAACACAGGTTCTCCCGACCTCATGTGTCCCCGTCCCCCCCCATGGCAGAAGACAGCTGAGCCGGGCAGCGCGCTCCCCACAAGCTCGCTCCCGGTTAATGGCAGAGGCAGCTTAGGAGGGGCCTGGGCCACAAGACTCCCTCCTCCACACATGAGGAAACAGGCCAGGGATGGGCTCGGGTGGCCATAGAGTGGAGGCCACCAGGCATGAGGGACACCATGTCGCTGGCCTAGTATGGGCCTTGACCCCGAGAAGCCGCAAAGCAATTGGCACCCAGAGGCCCAGGGCACAGCTAGCACAGGGTCCCCATATGCAACACCCATCTAACAGGGAGTAGTGAGCGCCCCATCCCTGGAGGCAGACAAGCGACCTGGCCAGGTGCTGGAAGAGGGATTGGAACTTTGCACAGGGGGCTGATTTGCCCTTTTAAGGGGTTTCCCTTCAGCCCTCAAGATTTAGGCGGGGCCAAGGTCACAGGCGAGGCCTGGAGGGGCTGCCCCACCCACTCAGGCCATCCCCCCTCTCAGGGCCAATCATTAATTGGCGCCGCTTGAGTGGCTGCTCCCACCAGTGCCCCCGGCTGCCTGCCAGCTCATGGCCCGGCTCCCGTCCCGTGCCCAGGGCACCCAGCACACCTGCCCGGCCCCACTTCCTGCTCGTGACTCCCTGCAGCTGAGCGCCTGGAGGAGCAAGGTGCCTTCTCAGACCACCATCAGAGCGCCTGCGGGATTCCTGCCGCCCAGCTCAGCCCGGGCGCTGCAGGCAGGGCGGCGAGACCACAGGCCGGGCTCTAGAGAGCCCACCCACCGGGAGGGAGGGCGCAGGGGGAGCCTGGAGGCAGGCCCAGAAGCACCAGGATGTGGCCATGGCCTGGCTATGGACAAGGGAGAGCTGAGGAAGGGGCGAAAACAGCATCCCCCCAGTGGGGACATCAGATGTGAATAAGCAGAGGGGAGGAGCCTCCCAGGAGCAAAGTCTTGGAGGTGGGAAGGGCCCTGCGTGCTCAGGGAAGAGGGAGAAGCCAGATATGGAGGGAAGCAGGGGTGAGAGGTGCCTACTCAGATTCCAGACTAAGGAGTTAACTTTATCTGGGGGCAATAGGGAGCTACTGCAGGTTTTGGAGGCAGGGAGTGATATGGCATAGCTTCTGTTTAACCCAGTAAGTGGGGCTGGTAGGGGAGGAGGCAGTGAAAGCTGCCAAGGGGAGGGACAGAGAAGTAGGCCTTGCAGTGGACATGGAGCAGAGGGTGGACGGGGAAGTGACACAGGCTTCTGCTGAGACAACAGCATGGTCAGGCTGGAGGAAGCTGGGGACAGAGACTGGAGCAGCAAGGTGCCGAGTGTGTCAGGCCAGAGGTTCCTGGGATCCCGTGGGAATCGAAGCGGTGGGGCAGAGCGAGCCCCTGCTGTCGGGGCAGGCCGGAGACAGAGGCGCCCGGGCACACCCCCAGGAACCCACACTCCCCAGCTGGGCCGGGCTGAGGACGAGCGGCCAGCCAGGGCCCCGAAGCCAAGGAAGGGGGGATAGCCGGCAACACAAAGACCACTGCTGGCCTGGACGGGGAGCCGTGGAGGCGATCACGGGTGCCAGAGGGTCAGCGGGCGCGGACAGCACTGCCGAAAAGCTCGCCTCCGGGATGCTGACGGGGATCTGGGGGGCCCCTAGAAGCAGAGCCTGAGACGGATGCTGCGTTCTCAGGAGCGAGGGAACCCCCGTGTCCCTCACCCGCACCCTTGGGGTCCCAAATAAAGTCCAAGCTCCCACCCCTGTGTCCAGGCACAGGACGACCTGCACGGTGAGGCAGCCAAGATTGCCAGCAGGGGCGACAGACGCCTGGATCAGCCCATCGTGTGCAAACCAAGCGACCACGGGAGACCTCACAAGCCCCGGGGCCGTGGAGCCCAGAGTCTCAGGCTGAGGGCCGGGCAGGCAGGTGGGTGCCTGGCACAAAGCCGGCACCCGTGCCGGTGCCCTGCCCACAGGGTGGATGGGGCGGCCGCGCCCTCCGCGCTGGCACCTGGCGGGAGGGAGCTGCACTTGGGTGGTGGGCCCCGGGAGGGGGCGGTGCCACCCACAGGCTGCTCACCACAAAGGGGCCCCCAGGGGCTTTCCCCTGCGCCACCCCTGCCAGCGTTCCAAGCCCTGGCCCGGGTCCCGGCAGCTGCGGCCTGTTCAGCGGGCCCAGGCTCCTCTGCCCTGTGGATCAGAAGGACGGGTTGTGCCCTCGGGCTGGGCACCCCTGCATGCCTGGCGCTGTGCCCAAGCTGTCACTCCCCGACCCTCACGACGGCCTGGAGGGCAGGTCTCGTCACTATCCCCACCCTCGTGCATTCCATAGCTGTTTACTGAGCACCGCTGCATGCAGGCGTGCAGGACCCAGATGAGGACCTGCTGGCTCAGAGCTCACGTCACAAATGAGGAAACTGAGGCCCTGTGCAGCCCTAAGGGATGTGCCCAAGGTCACACGGCTGGATTCAGATCCAGGTCAGGCTCCAAAACTCACTTTTTGTTTTTTTAAGAGATAGATTCTTGCTCTGTGGCCCAGGCTGGAGGGCAACAGTGCAACCACGGCTCACAGCAGCCTCAAACTCCTGGGCTCTAGTGATCCTCCCACCTCAGCCTCCCAAATAGCTGGGACCACAGGTGCACACTACTGAGCCCAGTTAATTTTTCTTATTTTTTGTAGAGACAGGGTCTCACTATGTTGCCCAGGCTGGTCTCAAACTCCTGGCTTCAAGCGATCCTCTTGCTTTGGCCTCCCAAAGTGTTGAGATTACAAGGAGGAGCCATCGTGGCCCGCCCAAACACACTTTTTTATTTAAGCTCTTCTCTGGGCATTGGTCCCCTAAGCTGTAAAATGGGCACCATGAGGTCTATCCCCAGGGTTGTGAGGACAGAGAGGCAGGTGAGTGGCCCCTAGGACTGTGCACAGTCAGCAGGGTTCCTGCCACCCCCACATGACATGTTTTGGAGGCGGTGGGGTGCCCAGCCCTTCCCCAGCCCGACCCACAGTGGCGCCCACCCTGCCCTCCAGCCGTCGGATTCACCGAAGCACCATGTGTCATGCTGTCCCCGCTGCTTGGAAGACGTTCCCCTCACGGAAGCGAGACAACCGCCACGTAGCACTTCCTGGGGGCCAGGCACCGTTCTCATCGAGCCCCCAACAACCTCGTGCAGGAAATACTACTTTTATTCCTATTTCCCAGGTACGGAACAGAGGCACAGAGACGAAGCAACATGCCTGAGTCTACACAGCCGCTGAGCAGACTGGGGCGTGTCCCTCACCCTGCACGTCACTGCCCCGCCACCAGCCTGCAGTGTCAGGTCCACGTCAGGCCCGGCCTGGCCCCACGGCCCAGAGCAAGGATCCTCGTGGTGCACGCGGCTGGCTCCTGCCGTGGCCCCCTCTGCCCCAGACGCACAGTGTCCCTGAGGGCTGGGCCGGGCGTGCGAAGGGCTGGGGGAGGGCTGCTGAGGGCAAAGAAATTGGCCACTGGGAGGCCGTCAGTCGGCAGGCAGGTGTCCCGGCCCAGGCCCTGGCCCCAGTGGCCCAGAGGCGCCCTTACCTACTCGGAGCTCTTGCCCGAAGACGGTCCTCTCGCCGAGGGCGGAGCAGTTCCAGCGCCCGAAGCGGAACTGGTGCTGGCACTCGTTGATGCCCATCTGCGCCCCCTCCCCGACCACAATGATGGCATCGGGCCGGCTCTGGCAGATGGCGCGCTGCCGCGGGGCCAAGCCAGGGATCTTGTTGCAGATGATGTTGGCTCCCAGGGCCACCACGGACGACAGCGCTCTGCGGAGGCAGGGAGAGGAGACACAGGCCGTGAGACCGGGTGGCGCGGCACCCTCCCCCCCCCCAGCTCAGCCTCTCAGCCCCCAGCCTCAAACCAAGCTCTGCCCAGCAGGGAACACTCCGATCCCCGCCCTCACGGGGCCACTTTCCATCAACCGCACTCATGGTCCGGGTGGGAGAAGGCACACACCCGACTCCCTCAGCCGCGGGTCGCAAGAACCACGGCACCGCAAGTCCCGCAGATGCAGGAACCACAGTTCCCAAGCCTCTGAGTCAGACACGCAGACCCTTCAGGGCAGAGAGCATCACCTGAGACCCGACAGCCATCGATCCCGGTCCACAGCTGTCTCCGAGCAGCAACCCCCATCTCCCAAGCGACCAGGTCTCCCATCACCCGCAGGTCCTCTGACACCCCCTCCCCATGGCACCCAGGCCCGGCAGGCTGGGAGCCAAGCCCACCGGTGCTGACTCCAGCTCTAGCCCCGTGTGACCTGGGGAAGGCGCTCCCCCGTAAGCCTCAGTTTCCACATCCATGAAATGGGCATAAGACACCTGCTGTCCCCCCCACCGCACAGGCTCAGATGACCATGGGGAGGAAGGCTGCACGCTAAGGGACGGCTGTGCGGCTTTCACTCCTTTCAGGGTGACGGGGCGCACTCAGAGGATGAAACAGCACCCACAGTGTGCTGGGCGCCATAGATAACTGTCCATCCCCCTCGGTCCCCTGAGGGTGCCTCCTTCATAATCCCCTGGCAACTTCCAGCCAGGAAGCCACATGCCAAGCTCACCCTCGACTTGAGGTGTTACAGCGAGATTGTTTGTTTGTTTGTTTAATGAGGTGAAATTCACGTAACATACAATAGCCGTTTTAAAGTGCGCTGTTCCGTGGCATCAGCATCTCAGTGTTGTGCAACCTCCACCTCAAGTTCCAAGATATTTTCACCACCCCAAAAGGAAACTCTGTCCGTGTTAGAGCCACTCCCCGTTCTTCCCCTGCCCCAGCCCTGGCAACCACCAATCTGCTTCCCGTTCCTATGGATTTGCTTATTCTAGACACGTCATGTGGAAGGACCCAGACAATACGTGACCTTCTGTGTCTGGCTTCCTTCGTGCAGCAGAATGCTTTCAAGGGTCACCGTGATGTGGCTCATGTCGGTGCTTCATTCCTTTTTATGGCTGGATAATATTCCATTGTGTGGACAGAAACATTGCGTTCAGCCATTCATCGCTTGTGGACATCTAGGCTATTGTGGCTGCTGGGAGTCACGCGGCTGTGCGCACACATGCACAGGTTTTTGTTTGAGGACCTGTTTTCAATCTTTTCGGCATAGACCTGGGGTGGAACTGCTGGGTCATACAGTGATTCTTTAACTTTTTGAGGAGTTGCCAACTGCTCTCCAAAGTAGCCGCACCAATTGTCTGGCTAGAAGCACCCACAGAAGGGACAGCAAGCTGGAAGGAGGGGAGGGCCGCTTTCAGGCAAACCTCAGGCAGCATTTGGGTTCAAAACGGCAGACCAGGCCTGCTTGGGGAGGGGGCAAACGTGGGAGCAGGGGCCAGCAGGGGCTCCCAAAAGCTGACGCTCGAGGCTCTGGGCCCCTAGTGCGGTGTGGCCCTCCCTCTACCCACGGCCTGCCAGCCCCTTTCTCAAGAGAAACAGGCCAGTGTTTTTCCAGGGCAGCCGAGCACCCAAAGCCAGCTGGAAAGTCCCCGTGTGGCCTGAGCCCGCAGCACGTGCTGTCGCCGGGCGCCCCGGCCGACACTCAATCCCTACGGCCCGCCCGGCCCGCCCGCTAATCTGGCCAAGACCTCCCTGGGTCTCCCACGGGCACAATGGGCAGAAACACCCCGGGCTGGCGTTGAGGAAGAGCATCTGGACGGGTGGGGCCGGGAGCGGGCTGGAATCTGGGGAATTCAGCCCAGAGTAATTGTAGATCCTCGGAAAACCGAGCTGGGGAAATGAGATGGATGGGAACCCTGCGGGCCACCAGCCTCCACAGAGGGCAGAGCCCTGTGGGTCCTGGACCTGAAGGACGCTCCCCAGGCCCAGATTCTTCCAGCGGGCTCGGGGCTGCCAAGCCCCAACTGCCCACAGTCGGAGCCCCTGCTGGGGGCAGGAGCCTAACAAACTGGGCCTCACTGGGACTCGTGTGACTTAGGACAGATCCTAGGGGCAGGAGTAGATTGTGGCGCCGGCCACAGCCCTGGTTTCTCACCTCCAGACAGACAGACCCCCAACACCAGCCCCACTGGCAGCCCGATCTGATCCACAGCTCCCCATTGCCCGTGAGACGACGCAAGCTCCTCTGCCTAGAATTAGAGGCCTCCTGGCCTCCGACGACCCCTCCCCTTCCTGGCGCCCGCAGGTCCCCCCTTCAGCTGGCATCCTCCACCTGCCCGCCAAGCCCAAGCGAAAGCCCACTGTGCTCAAACCCCTCGGCCCCGGCACGGAGGAGGCACACAGTGGGCGCTCGCTTTGCAAGCGCAGAACCCATCCCAAGGTCCCACAGTTACGTTTCCACCTGGCTTCCCCACCGGACAGCGCCACGTCTGAGCTCAATCGGGCCCCCGGGGCTGCGTGGGGCGGCCATCCCGAGTGTCTGAGGAAAGGATGAATGAGAAAACGAAAGAGCCAGTGCTCAAGAGTCAGGGTGAAAGAACTCCTGCAACTCAGCACCAAAAAGTGAACAACCCGATTTTAAAGCGGGCAAAGGACTTTGTATAGACGCTTCTCCAAAGCAGATGCGCAGATGGCCAACGAGCTCGAGGAGGGTGCTCAAGGTCACCGCCCACGAGGAGAATGCAGCTCAAAACCACAACGAGAGGCTGCTTCACACCTGCAGGACGGCTATGATAAAAACGACGACAGCAGAAAGCAACAAGCGTTGAGGACGTGGAGAAACTGGAACCCGCGTACACTGCTGGCAGGGAATTAAAATGGTGCAGCCACCGTGGACAACAGCTCAGCAGTTCTTCGCTGAGTCAAACTCAGAGTTACCCGGCAGGTTCAGCCCTGGGTGTATATCCAAAGCAACTGAAGACGGGTGTTTGAACAAGAACTCGTACGCGAATATTCATAATAATCGAGGGATAGAAACAAACCCCAGTGTCCATCGACAGATGAACACATAAGCCAGGTGCAGGCTAGCACAAACGGAGTATTATTTGGCCACAGAAAGGGAGGAAGCCCTGATTCCCGCTGCCACGCGCAGGAACGTCAAAAGCGCTGTGCTCAGTGAAAGGCGCCAGACACCACCACCACGCAGCGCATGATTCCATTCGTGCGAACTCTCCAGAACAGGCAAAGCCACAGAGCAGAAAACGGAACAGGGGCCGCAGGAGCTGGGGGGAGGGGCAGGGAGTGACCGCCCAGCAGGGGTGGAATTTCCAGCGAAGAACGAGTCACGGAACTAGACAGGTGGCAGTCACACAGCATTGTGAATGGGCTAAATGCCACTGAACCGTATGCTATAAAATGGTTAAAGTGGGAAATTTTATATGTATTTTAACCACAATATTGCATAATTACATCTACACACAGGACTGCCCCACACCGCTCGGTGTACTGTAGGTCCTGGAGGAAGGGGACTAGAGGGCCGTGGTCCTGTATGCTCACCGGGACGTGTGGGGCTGATGGGGCAGGCACTGGGCCCCGGCCACGCTCCCGAGTGCACGGGTGGAGGCGACGCAAAGGCAGCAGGGAACGCTGATGTGCAGATATCCGGATGTGGCTGACAACTCAGAAATAATGTCGACATCGTCTCCCTTACTATGTGGGGCGGTTTCCACTAGCCGATACCAGAGGGCCAACTCCGGGCAACGCGGACCTCTTCGGAGACTCGCTTAATCCTCACCGCACGAGGTACGCCGCGCTGTCTCCTTCTGCAGGTGGGGGTGCGGGACTGGGAGGCTGGGGGACTGCCCGGGGCCGCACGGCCAGGCTCGGGCCAGTCTCTGCTTCCAGAACGCAGGTGGAGGCAGCACTGTGGATCAGGGAGCCATGCGCCGTAGGTGCCTGGCACACCCCGGTGACGGCCTGGGCAGGCACAGGGCCCCTTCTTACTCTCCAAACAGCCCAAGCCCTTCCCTGGTCAAGACCCTCAGGCCGTGGATTAATTCATTCCGGGTCCACAGGCCTCCCCCACCCTCCTTGTCACCGTCCAGTCTGACCACTGTGCTCCCACACCGGCCCTTCCGCCTGGAGGGGAAGAGGCTGCAGACGGGGTGGGGGTGCGGCGGAAACACACAGTGTCTAAATAAGCCGCGCTGTGCACTGCGCAGGGGCGACGCGGGCAGCAGGAGCAGGGCGCTGAGGCCACCGGTGCTCGGAGTGCCCTGTGGGGTGGGCCCTGCTTTCACCCCAAAGTGGGAAACCCTCTGGGCCGGCGTCGTGGCCCTCAGCTGCCTGCCCTGGTGCCCCGAGGGGTTGGCCAGGGAGGCCCTGAGCGACCATGAGCACAGAGGAGCTGGGCAGGGGCGTTTCAGGTGCTGACTTTTTCGGTGGAAAATTCTACTCTGATCGAGGCCTCAGGACACAGGCAAGACGCCAGGAGGGGTGGGCCAAGCTGCAAGTCTGGAAACTCTCCTTGCTCTGCCTAGGCCAGTGCCCTGCAGGGCATTCGCAGGAGAAGGGTTCATTCCTTAGACAAGAAGCCCCTGATTGTCCCCCAGGGACTGTGGACAAGGCCCTCTGGTCTCAGGCCAGCGTCCAGCAGAGGGCTGGGAGTGACGGATTCACCGAGATGGGCCCTGGCTCTGTGCAGGGCGGGCTGCCGCTGGAGCAGGGGCACGTCCTGCTAGCTGCTGAGCAGCCCCGAGGGGAGGGGGCTGCCTCTAGGATGAGGGGCTCGAGTGGAGCCAGGGGCAGGTGAGGGCGATGAGAGCAGAGGTGGTCAGGAGCAAGTCCTTTGCTGTGGCATTAGCCAGGCAGCCGGCCACTCCCCCCCGCCCCCCACAGCCTGGAGGCAGGGGCAGGACCCTGAGTCTGCCTCTTCCTAACTGTGAGACCTCAGGCAAGTCTCTTAAGCTCGCCATGCCTCAGTTTCCTCCTCTGTAAAGTGGGGGTGATCACAGCCCTGACACACCCCAGAGCCGTTGGAAGAACATGGCGTGGCGTCCACGGCACGTGGCAGCTGGCCTGCAGTGAGATGTAACCCACATGGCCATTGTTTGCCCTGAGGCTGGAGACTGGGACACACAACTGACCTCATGCATCAGACGCACAGTCTCTGAGCCCCCAGGATCCAGCCCCCTTTTGGGAATCAGGGACCAAGCTGGGTCTGTCGGGGCCCCAACGCTTAGACGGGCAGCTCTGCAGCCAGCGGTGTCCACGTCGGCCACTGCATCCACCACTAACGGGTCCCCTCTTGGATCGGCTCCCCCCTCTGACCCAGCAACCCCACTGTGACATCTGGGCACCGAAGAGAAAGGAGCGCTCACGGTCTCCAAAGGACACGCATGCGGCCCGCGGCACAAGCCGGGAACAGCAACCGCGGTGTCCGTCAACCGGGGAAGGAGAAAGCGCGCTGCATTCTGGGTGACATCCACAGCAATGGAAAAGAACAATCCGCTTGCACGCGTCATCGGGGATGAGTCTCACAGAGAAGAGAACGTGGATTCTGCCACTACACAAGGCTGCAGGACAAGTGACCTCATCTTCAAGCTGGAGATCGGAACAGAGCTACCCTGGGGTGGGAGGCACTGACTGGGCGGGGCAGAGGGAGCCCATCGACATGCTGGAATGTTCTGTGTCCCAAGCCGGGTGCTGGTTACACGGGTGCACACGCACGTAAAACGCATCGAGCTGTCCGCTTGAGATTTGTTCTTTGTTCTACCTCAGCACAAAATACAATACTGCAATACACACCTTCATTGACAACGGGGCTGCCAAAATAGGCAAGAATGAAAACTCCAAGCGTCCTCACAATATTTAAAATAAAGAAAGCACACTTAAAAAATGAAATGTCAGCATGAAAAATCATTCCTCTGTGCCTTGTCTGTGTGTGCCTGGCCTGGGGTGGCACTAACCCTCCGTGGCAGGGGCTTGCGGGGGCCACTGGGGGCTGGCCTGAGCCAGAACACCTGCAGGGCTCCCCCACCCCACCTTGGACTCAGTCCGCAGATGCCACCAGCCTGTGCCCACCAGCCAGCCTGTGCCCACTGGGCCCTCAGCCTCTGTGGAGCCCGAATGTGGGTGACAGGCTGCCTTGGCAGCTCCCAGGCAGTGACGAGGTGGGGACAGAAGACCCTGGGGGCTGTGGGGTGGAGGGAGCTCATGGCCCTTGGTGGGGTGCCCTCCTGCTCTGTACCTGTGCCCCACCTAGCACTCAACTCAGGGCCAGAGGGCAGAGCTGCCTACCCACCTGCCCTCCTTCCACCCAGAGAAGCTGGGACCACCAGCAGGGCCAGGAGGGGACAGAGCTCTGGGCTGCAGCCACTCTGGCTGAGACCCTTGTCAGTGCCAGGCCCCACCCCTGCCAAGGCCCAGCCTGGGGGGCTCCCCCTCCAGCATCCTCAGGAAGCATGGGGGTGACCTGTCATTGCACAGTCGTGGACCCTGAGCCCAGGTGGGGGCAGCATCTCACCTGTGTCCAGGATTGGAGCCATCCTGTCCTCTCCCTGTCTCTGTGTAGGACACCACTGCTTCATTCAGGGGATAACCTCCATCCAAAGCCTGCCCCAGCAGGTAAGAGTCTAACCTAAACCCTCATGCTGTTGGGGTTTTCAGCGGCTGGAGGCAGAATGAGCACCTACTGTGTGCTGGACTGGGCTTAGAGTCCTTTCAAGGTTGCTATTTCAAAGCCTGGGGTGTGGGCCAAGTGCTATAATAATAATACTAATTATTATTATTATTGTTATTGTCTCAGAATAGGAATCAGAGGTCCAGGAAGGTTCGGTGCCTGCCCCGTAGCTGAGGGAGGCCGGAGAGAGCAGGGGCTGGAGTCCACACCTCCTGCTCCTGGCTGGTCAGTGCCTTGTCATCAGCCCTTCCCTGTGGCACATGCCCGTCCCTGACCCTCAAAGGGGGTGGGCAGGGCGTGGCCA